CAAACGGGCCTCGGGACAATCCCGGGAGCGCCTGCCCGCAGCCCGCACACAGTCCAGACACCGCAGCGTTCGCAGTCGGGCCCGACCGGCGGGAGGAGCTCGGGGCCGGAGCCCCGGGCGGGAGACTGCGCGTGCTCTCCCGGGAGGCGCCGCGGGGCCGCTCCTGGGAACCTGTCTGCCGCCTCTGCTGGAGAAGCTGAGAGTCCCCTCGCCCCGCCCGGCCTCAGGCCCCAGGGAAGAATGTAACATCTTGTAATGTGACAATCACTGAGGAACCGGTACCCGAGAGGGGAAATCCCGCCGGGGGTGCGTCCCAGGGACGCGGGGCCTCGGCATCCGGCAGCGCCCCGGGTTCGGGAAAGGGGTGGGGGCAGCGGGTGAGGCTTGCAGGTCAGAGCCCAGGTGGGGAGGAGGGTCTGAGTCGGGGAGGCTCTCCAGGGGCCGTTTTGGGGGACAGGACCCTGCCAGAACCCAGTCTGACAGAGCCAGGGGGCGCCCCACCCACCCGCTTCCGTCACCTGGGACCCCAAAGTCGAATGCAAAGGGCGCGAAAATTTGTAGCTTAATTCTCAAAGAGGTCTCTGACCCCACAACAGGTTTAAGGCACTGGTGGTCGCTGTTTGGCAGGAAAGGAGCTGGCTTGTGACTGGGGAGCAAGTGCTAGGGACCCGGTGGAGGTGGAATGAGGCGGGAAGCGGTGTCGGGGTGCGGGAGCTGTTCTCGGGTTTTGCAGTCTGTGCGGGCGACTTTTCTTGAAAGGCAAAGGGTCTTTCTGCTCCCCGACACCCTTCTCCTTCGCGGGGGCTCTAACAGCGCAGGGGGGGCCATAGGACCACTTCCACACTCTCTTTACCCCTCTTCGCCCCTCTCCCCATTTCTACTACCACGTTGTGTGTAAACGAAGCTGCAGCCTTCTCGCGCGCTCTCCGCCCGCAGCAAACCTGATACTTCTCCCAAACTCGCCCCACCACGCTCGGAAATCCTCACACAGGACGGATATTCACAATTTTCACAAGTAATCCTGAAAGAAGGCCGAGGGGAAGCTCCCTAAACGGTCCCACATTGCAGCCGCGCTGATTAGGCCGGGGATTCTTTCCCTTTTTTCTCTGCCCTCCCCTGCCCGCGAGCTGCAGAGCGGGCGGCTGGAATTCTGGGGGTGGCCGGCGGCGGGCGGGGATGGGAGGAAAGGGGAGGCCGGCGCGCCCCGGCTGCCAGCCTCCGCAAATGGAAAACAGTGCCAGCGGCCCTTAGGAGTTCGGAGCAAACCCGCCAAGAGTTGGAGCGCAAAGGGTCGGGCACCCCTCACTCTTCGGCTTCCCTCCCCCGGCTTCCCAGCGCTTGTCATATCCTGTCTCTGGCCTGATATTTCACGCGAGCGAATGGGAGGGAATTGCAATGAAGATTTATGTGTGCTCTGAGTGTGACTGGTTTCCCAGTGTAAGGAGACGAGACCGCTGTTTCCCATTTCCATTTTTCACTCGCGCTTTGGGGAGCGCAGTAGGGCGCGGGGGGAGCTAGTCTGCGCGGCGGCGGGCTGATCACAGGGCTCGGTGTCTCCCAGCGGGCCAGGAGACTGTGAGAAAGGCTTGCCAGAGCTTTGCCCCCGGAGGGCCGGAGCCGGCCCCCGCCTGCCCCAGCCAGGCTTTGTTTCTCCGCTCTCCCGCCCCTCCCTCTCGCTCTCTCTCACTTCTACGGGGAGCATCCTTGCCTTCCCTCCTCTCGCCCCTCTCCAGGACTGCGGAAACGCCCCCTTCCTCTGGCCTCTGCACCCTTCCGCCCTCTACTTCGCGAGTTTCCCGGGGACAGGCGCGCCGTGGCCCGGCCCGACCCCGCCGCCGCCGGGTGCCAGGTTAGGTGACTCCGGCGAGTCTGTGGGGCCTCAGCCCACCCCGGAGCCGGGGCCGCCAGCCCTCCCGGCTCCCAGGCTCGCTCATGCCAAGGCCTGTTGCGTGATTCCAACTTGGGCTGACATTCCCTGCCCCGGGCGCTCCGGCGTAGGCCTCTTAATCATCTTGTCTGCTGCAGATCCTCGACACCAGCCAATTTACTGCCCCGTCTCTCCTTGCTGGTTTCAGGAGGGGGAGGGGAGAGCTCACAAAGGAGGGGAGCACACAGTAAACCGCAGGAGGAAGGCTGGCACCAGCTATTGGCACTCAAAGAAAACCACGGAATTTGGAGTTCAGGGGAGGGAGAACAGGAATGGAGGTCTGCTAGGCAGCGGCTGCTTAGGGAAGCCAGAATCGCGAGGTCAATGGGATTCAGCCCAGGCCACGCTAGCCTGGGAAACCACCCAGGAATGTGGACGGACACAGAGTTGTGTAACCTCCCTGCCTTCTGCAGAGCTCCAAGTCTCTGGACCATACTCTGTGGTAAATCACACTCGGTGCAGTCCCCAAAACAATCGGGCCAGAAAAGTTGGAGTTCCTCTCAGGACAATGCCACTGCGCTGAGAAAGTCACTCCTGTCTGATGTCTGTTTTCTTGGCAAAGGTGAGTTGAGGATGGCCTACACAACAAGGATGGCCTGATGAGCATCCTAGAGAAGAGGAGGAGGCTTGGCTCTGACAAGCAGGGTTCTCTGGCTTGCCCCCAACCTCCTCTGCAGGACAGCCCTCTCCCTTCAGAGGGGTGGCCCAAGGTTCAGGCTTCCATGTTGGAAAGGGACAGAGTCTCCCAGCCCTGCAGTGCTGCTTTCCACACAAGGTGAGGTTGGAAAGACCTCTGGCTGACTGTGGGCCTCATGATTGTAGGCAAAAGTAAGGCCTCCTTGTCTGGGGGCACCGGCTCAAACAATATACTACACAGAGAAAATGTATTGAGTGCTTACTATACACCGGGCACTGTAGCACAGCATTGCCCCATTACATGCTTACAGCTCTGAGAAAGCTCTTTTCGTGTTTCCTGTCTTATGGATCCCCACACTGCAACACAGAGAGGCGAAATGGGTAGCTCCACGTCACACAGTGAGTGATCAAAGCCTGAGAGCTGCTACCAACTGTGGGCCCCGGTGCTTTCAAGAAAAGAACTTTAAGTTCAGGCGGGCATTACTCACTTACCCCTGGCCTTTGCAGGGAATGCGATAAAGTAGGGTCATTTCCAAAGTTGGAAGCTAGTTGGGTGGGACCCGAGGAGGTAAATTGAGCTGAATAATATGTGGGTCTTTTCTCCGGGGAGTGTGAAGTAGAAAGGTGCCATTTGCACAGCAGTGTGCATTAGTCTCCTAATGTGAGTGTGCACGTGTGCGTGAGTGTGCATATGCGGGTCTATCAGTGTGTGTGAATTTGTGTCATGTATGTGAGTGTGTCATTTAGTGTGAGTGTGTGACTGTGTGTGTCTGAGAGTGCAATAGCTCAGATGTATCTGCAGCAGTCACAGCGTATGATTGTACGTGTACTAGAGAAGCCCTGTGCGCCGAGGGCGCCCTGCATTCCTGAGCCGAACACGAGTCTCCTGAGGGCCTGGGTGACTCAGTGAGTTCTCGGCTCAGCCATCCCCAGAAAGGCCGCGGGGCGGGAGGAAGAGTCCAATGTAGGGGTCTGACTCGGGCTGCAGCAGCGTTCAGGCCCTGGCTGCAGTTTCCCCGCGCGGCCGGGAAGCACCAGCACCGCCGGCGCGGAGGAGGCAGAGACCGCCCAGGCGCCGGTGGGGCACAGCGGGCGGAGGCTGGAGCCGACAGGCGCTGAGTGACTCACCGCACCTCGAGCTGGGGAGCCCCGACTCCGGAGCGGGTGGGGGTACAGCGCGCACTTTCTGCGGGTCCCGGAGCCCAGGGAACTTGTCCCTTCACCTCGCTGCCGCGCTTGGCTGCACTCCTGGCCTTCTGAAGACGCGAAGGTCACTCCTGGCTGACCAGGTCCGCAGCCGCGGCTCGAGCTTCCAGGGTTTGACACCAAGGTAAAAACGCACACGTCCCATGAAAACAATAATTTATTTAAATAATCTCTTCATATTGTAAAATCAACATTAAGAGCATGTTGTTTTCATAATAAATAACCCCAAAATACCTTTCATTTCAAGAACAAAGACTTTAGGATAAGATATAACAAACCCAAATCAGTAGCTTAGTTTAACAGAAAATTTTCTGAACCGGAGGGGCTTCTGAGGTCACTGCTCATCCGCAGTTTTCACAAGTGGGTGTTTACAAAAAAAGTCTGAAAAGATGTGTATTTTTATACAAATAAATCAGTGGGAAAATCTGCACAGACACCTTTATTTACAAACTCCATGTCGAAGTCCAGGCTAATAATCCTGAATAGGTTTTTAAAAAAGATAATTTAAACACATTTTTTTGCAGTGTCCACATATTAAAAAATCATTTTTCCCCAACATCAAAATGAGGTCATCCGCAAAGGCACCTAAACTTTTAAAAAATAAAAAATAAAATAAAAAAACTCCACTGGTCATGAATGAGGAGAGAGCTAAGGGGCAGAGTTCCTGGCGGGAAGAGCCTAAGGCGGGAGAGGATGGGGCTCCAGGGGCTGGAAGCCGCAGAGAGGGGAAAAGCGGCGGGCCGCCAGGGTCACGGAGGCGAGTGGGGGAGGGCCGGCCGCCAGGCGGGACCCCGGAGGTCGCTAACCCGAGCGGACCGCGCGGAGCCTGGGGTCGGGCGAGGAGAAAGGAGAGCTTCAGAGCGCCTGGGAAGCCTCGCGGGCGGGGGAGGAGTCCCTTTCCGAGACTCAGCTCGTGGCCCGCGGCGACAAAGGCGCCGGGCAGCCTGGCCAGGAGGTGAGGCGAGGGGAGGCAAGTCTGAGGCGGGGCTCAGGTCCGGAGGGAAGCCGTGGCCCGCGGCCTTCACGGTGCAGCAGCCGGGGGTCTCGGAGAGGAGCCTGCTGGTTCCCGGCCGCCCCGTGGCCTCGCGAGGGAGCAGGGCTTGGGGCAGGCTGTCGCGGGCCTTAACCTCCGGTACGGGTGGCATCGGCGGGCCAGCTGGAGAGACCCTGTGGCTTGGGTGCCAGCACTGTCGGGTCTCTGCTCTCAGTCTTTGGCGCAGTCTCCCTGGCGTTAGAAAATCGTGCCGGCGCTCACTGGGGCGCCCCCGCCGCCGTGGTGGTGGTGGTGGTGGTGGTGGTGTGGCTGCTGAGTCTGCGCCGGGTGCAGCAGCGGCGCAGCGGCCTGCAGGTGTGAGGCGGAGCCCGAGGTCTGGTGGTACCACGGGTAGTTGCCCAGGAAAGCCGAGGCCGCGCTGCTCGGGCTGGAGCCGGAGCTGCCCGCGCCGCTGCCTCCGCTGCCTGGGCCGCCGCCGCCCCCCATCCGCTGAGGCGCGCCGAAGTCCCAGGAGGCCGGCGCCGAGACGGGCGGCGAAGCGCAGGGTGGCGAGGCGCTGGCCCCAGGGTGCTGCTCCGTGGGGATCTCACCGCTTTTCCACATCTTCTTGAATTTGGATCGGCGGTTCTGGAACCAAATTTTGACCTTTGTGGAGAAGGGACCCGAGCATTAGTGGAGGAAATTCAGCACCGAGCAAGGAAGGGGAGGAAGCTTAGAAAGACCGACAGCAAGAAGTGGGCACTGAGCGCTTTGGGAACACCGGCCGACCTCGTGCCGCGGCGTGGGGGGCTGCGATGATTTCCACTCCATTGGGTGGTCATCTCAAAATCTCAAAAAGCCTAAGACCGCTAGTGCGTGCGCACCTTGGTGATGTTGACACAAGGAGGAGATCAGGAGGGCCAATTATTTTACCCGCTTAATCAGTAGCGCAGAGAAAAGACAACGTGGTGCCAGATTGTGCCCACCTTGTCCTTCCCCTGGGAAATTTCAGTTTCAAGTGTAGAAGTTTACACTGCCCAAGGCGCGGGCCTTGAAACCCTTGAGATTATTTTTTAAAAATATACTTAAAGCATTGTCCTGAACCCGCCTGCTTTTCACTCATTCCATACCAGCGCCCTCCTCATCCTTCCTGCCCCACCCCTAGCCCGCCCGCAGCCGCGGACCCTCACCTGAGTCTGGGTGAGGCCCAGAGACGCGGCCAGCTCGGCTCGCTCGGGCAGCGCCAGGTACTGGGTCTTTTGGAAACGCCGCTGAAGAGCCGCCAGCTGGAAACTGGAGTAGATGGTGCGGGGTTTCCGGACTTTCTTTGGCTTCCCGTTCACTATCCGAATTTCAGGCTCGAGGTCCTCTTTCTCTGCAACGAATCGGGATCATGAGAACTGTACGATCTGGGAGCTCAACAGTTTTCGCGCGGGGAGAGCCCCGGGTGGGACTTGGCGGGAGCCGGGAGACGGATTCTCAGGCACGACTTCGCAATGCTTGGAACGGTGCCGGCACCGACCCCCGAAGCTGGGCCCCCCGGCAAAGGGGAAGACGGCGCGAATTGGAGAAAACGGAGAAGCAGGCGGCAAGGGAATGAGGTTACCACGGGGCATGCACCGCGCGGCCCGCAAGGCCACCGGTCCGACAAGTTGAGCTCGGAGGGACGTACCCAGTGACCCTCGGCAGGTTGGAGGTTAAGAATGGCGAGGAAGCGGGCCCGGCCGGGCCGGACCAGGAGCAGGTGGTGTGAAAGCCCAGGGCTCCGGAGGGATCCCCGCCCCAGACATTTTTATCCCACCCAGCTAGTAGCTAGACCGACTTGGCACCCTTGACGCCAGCATTATGCTTACCAGGTTCGTTGTTGGCCGGGGACGAACTGGTCCCATAGGGTGCGTAGGAGGTGTAGGCGGCGGTGTATCCCAGGTCGTAGCCACTCTTGGCGGAATAAGGGACGTTGTTGAGGCCGCTGGCGTGGTATTGGTAGGAACCCATGTGCGCGTAGGGCGAGCCCCCACCGCCGCCTCCACCCGCCGGGTGCTGCTGGTTGGTGTAGTAGCTGCTGTCGGTAGCCGTGGACACCGGGAGGGTCGGCGACTCCTGAGGCTTGTGGAGGCTGCTGACGTTGCTGCTGCCCGGGCCAGCGCCACCACCGCTTGGGGGCTGCTGGTGCTGGTGGTACGTGCTGGAGGCCGTAATCTGGGTCGAGTGCATATCAGCCACCAGACTGTCAAAGACTCCAGTCATCCTGGCCCGGGACGGGAAAGAGCAGGGGTGGCGGGCGCGAGGGGGGGAAGCGAGGCGCCTCCTCCGTCTCTCCTGTCCCCTCCAGCAGCCAATGTAATTACGGGGGAAGGGGGGTGTGGGGTGGGGAGGAAAACAAAAAATGTGGCAGTGGCACAGGCAACTCCTCCTCCAGGGGAGGCGATCACCGTGCGCAGCTCCGGACAGTGGCCGCCGGCCGCATCCTCTCTCCGCCTCTCAGCCCGCTCGGCTTCTTGCCCAACGCCGGCTCGGACAGGGGGCGGCCGCGGAGGGGGGGCAGGGGTGGCGGGGCTGGGCCGGGGCTCCGGGAGGCGGGAGGAGCTGAGCAGCCCGCAGCAGCTTTACGATTGTCTGCGGGGCGGGATCCTGCAGGGTGGGCATTTAACACTCATCACGTGAGCGGGGCGACGTCACCTAGCAACAGCCAATCACAAGCGCGGGGCTGTGAGGTTACGAGCCCACTGGTACGAACGGCGGGCGGGTGTTACAGGCAGGCGCTGCGGCTGCTGTGGTCGCGGGTGCAGACAGGCCTCTGCTGAGTGTGAGCAGCGAGGCGAGGGACGGGGGGTCGGGTAAGGAGTTAGGGTGGCGGATGGCTGGCGGACAGAAGGCTTGAATACGGAGACTGGCATTTCCCTTTCCAAATACAAGTGCCAACCAATTCCAGTGATTCTTACCTGCGAGCCTGAGGTCAGCTTTCAAATGTTGGTCAAAATAGTCCCGAGAGCCGGGCCAATTCTAGCTACGTTTTCCCTCAAAGTGCCTGGCACTTACTCTTCTTACTAGCCCCTCGGCACTTGACATAGTCAATTGATGTAAATTATTCTTAAACCGCGTACTTTATATTAATATCTGCTTCCTAACTAACCTGCAGGGATATCAGGATAATTAATTAGACAATATTTAAAGGATTTTTCTTGTTGCTTTAGAGAAAAGCCATATAAATTCAAAGGTATTATTACTTACGATATACTATTTGACGTCATTTTCCTTGTACTTTCCTGACACATGCGTATTGTGTGTTAGATGGCTAACTGACATCAGAAAAGCTAGCCCGACTGACCGGATGGTCTTCAAAGTTCATGTTTTTACGAAACAGGAAGTGGAATAATGCTTAGGTGGGAGAGTCGTCTCCATACTCCAAGTTTTGGTAAACTTACGGCAACAAATAGAAAAGATTTATCTCATGCATTTAACATTATTTTACAGTTTATCCCTTTAGGACACTGTTCCTCTCTACCTTTGCAATTTCTTCGTTGAAATCGGAAGTAGAGGCTTCCTCTATGTCTCTGTTTCCTGGTGGTTGGGAACTGTTGTCTGGAGTTGGGGGACGCTGGCCTTTACTGGACTCCCAAATCCGCAGTTCCTGCGGCAGTACCTACCTTGTAGCGACACCTGCTGGAGGTGTGCATGGTTGCGGGCGGGCCCAGTAGACAGTCTAATCACGCTGAGGCGCCAGTTTCTGAAACCCCCCAAAAGAACAAAATAGTAATTAAAAGCCACAAAATTGTAGTAGTGCGCGCCATCTGAAGCGCCCCCTTCCTAAAGACATAACGTGTAGCTGGAAGAACTTGTTACAACAACTGCCTAATGGAAAACGAGTTGATACTTTGAAAAATATGATCTTTGGTTTTCTTCCCCAGAAAAAGCTAGTGTGTAATTAAAGCTACAGCATCCGCACAGCTCAGCCTCTGTGGAATAATGAGGAAGGTAATCCGCCTTCAAATCTGCCTGGATTTAGTTCCCAGCCTTGTTCTGGTTAATGGAGAAGAGCAAGATATTTAGAAACGCTTTGGGAGGTGAGGCTCACCACCACGGGACCACACTGTGGCATCTCTGCACTCCGCCTGCTGCTTGGCGGGCCCCAGTTACAAAATTAAGCTGGAGATAATTTCATCAAGATTGCTTGCTTGTGTCTTGACTCCAAATTCCAAGTCTGTCTGTCACCACAATGGTAGCTGTTTTGATCTACTACAGAAACCTTTTCCCCCTGAAAATGAAATATAAAGATTCCATTGCAATCCTCTTGCGTTCTCTGTATTCCTTTGTTCCCACTCCAAGCATGTCCTCCAGACTTTTCCATAGTGGTAAACGTGTTGTATTTTCTTTTCTCTGAGAACTTCCACTAATAGCCTTAAATCCTGGTCAGCTGAGATCTAGAAAAATGGCATCTTCCTGGAAGGAAATATGACTCCAGTTCTCTCTTAACTGGAAAACAAGGGACTATGTGTGTATGTAGGAGGAAGGGAGAGATAGAGAAAGAGAGGCAGAAGCTGCAGCTGCATTTGCAGAATCAAGACTTGAGATAGTAATTCTGATTATCCAGATACAAATTTGGGTTTGCCCAAATTATCTGATCGCTGCATCACAATATTCAAATGATTTCCTCACTTCGGTCTAAAGTCAGGGAATCAGTCCCATAGAGAACTGATATTCTCATGCACAGTTCAGGGGAGACTGATGGCCCTCTCTGCAGTGCTGTGAGAAGAGTTGAGCGGGAACTCAGAGTGCGTTTGGGTGAACAGAGGTGCCTCCTTTCTCCCAAACTTCCTCCTCTGCCTCAGGACGATATCTTTCCTCTTTTCTGCTTTAGGTTTTTTCTCTCAGCCCAGGCATTCTTCTACTCCACAGGGACCCAGAGCATGATGGGAGAAGGAGGGGAACTCAATGCCTCTGCTCCGGCCTTGTTATGTTTCAGTCCCATCGCTGAGACACTCTTGCTTTGGATCCTGTGTCCACCAGTTTGTCTCCACAGCACCTTTATCTGGTCAGTGAGTCTCACTGTCTCCTTGCAAGGGAACCTCAGGCAACCCTTATCAGGTAAGGGCAGAGCAGCAGGGGGCATCATCAACCCATTGTACTGAGGAAGGCAGAGGCTGGAGGGCGGGCACAACTTTTTCTGAGTCAGGTAACTTTTCTTTCTCTGTTGCCCTGGTGCAAGCCACAGGTTATTTACTATGAACCTTGGCTGAAGACTCCTGGTTTCCAGGAGACCTCGAGTGGCCCTGGAGAACAGGTCACTGCTTTCAGCTCCCTCCCTCATCACTGGGCTTTGGGTCAGGATTTAGGCAGTTCACTGTCTCTGCTCAATCATTGGGTGACCTCTGTTACACAGAAAACTGACCCTGAAGGGTGTGGCAGGGGAGAGGTTGCCCCCCACCTCCCTCACGGGGCCTCCGGAGTGCCCTGCGTATAGAGTATCAGACTTATTCTCACTGGCCTATGCCACTCTGGGTCTGGAGCTTTGGCTGGACTGCCTTGTGTCCTTACTGTGCACTGTCTTATCGAGGGTCCCAGAACACTGGGTTGTGGGGCCATGGGTCTGAGAGGCACTCTTTCATGCTCCAAAAGAGTATCTCTAGGAACCTGCACCATTAGCATCTCTTGGGGTTCATTCTAGAACTCAAAAACATTGGGAGAAGGTCTGGTTTGTGGGAGCTTCCCATTTCCACCTTTCCAGGACCAGACTGGCATGCTTTCGTCCCTTTGCATCTTCTTGGGGTCAACTCAAGGCCAATCCTTTCTCATTGCTAGTGTCCTCAATCTGATTTTCTCTGCTTGCTTGGGGAAGTGGCCTCCAGGGACTCAGGGTGTGTGTGGTTAGCTCCTTCCAGCCCCTTTGATCCTTAGGGAGATGAAATGAGATCCCTGACTTTGTGATCTGCAACCTTGGGTCCCACTTTTTTCTTGCATGGATTCGATGAGAGGGCATAAAGGAAACGCACCTGTGGGCTTGAGGAAATTCTGCAGGGACCCTGGAGTTGGACCCACAGTTTTGTGACAGCAGGAACCGGCCGTGCAGGTTGGATAGCCCTCAGGTCCTCCGCCTTCTGCTGCACTGCTGCGTCCCACAGCCGCATCCTCTGGGCTCCTTTTCCTTCAGCTCAGATGTTATCTTAGATTTCCCCTTTTGTATCGGTTTCTATGTATCTCCCTCTCCATGATCTCTCCCATGAACTTGAAGGTCTCAGTTAGCCACTTTCCTCCCATCTACCAAGCCTGGCACTGTGCCAGGTGCTGGGGACTCCTGTCCTCCAGTAGCTTCCCGTGAGCGGGAAAAGAAGATACATTGCCACAACGAATGGCAAGCATTTATTTCTTGAGAGTTTACTGAGCACCAGGAGTTCTGTCAGGCACTTCCTTTACTTTTATTACCTCACTGACCCTGGGGAACGGTCTTACGTGGTGGGCACAAAATTATCCACATTGAGGAAACCAAGGCTTAGAGAGACCAAATCGTTTTGTTTAAGAACCCTGAGCTCAGTCAGGACTGGAACTTGGGTCTGGCCACTGCGGATCCGGCTGGGTTTCTGGCCTGGGGATCGCGGGAGAAGACCGCGCCGCACCCACCCACCTCTCCGGGGCTGAGATCCCAAGGGGGCGAATGCAAAGGGGCATTGAGAGTCCTGAAGTGAGCTCTCCCTTCTGGCCCCAAAAGCCGACGGGAAGGAGAGATTTCTCCTCCCGAAGACTAGCAGACGCTCGGGCCAAGCGCAGCAAGGAACCTCAGACCAAGCCCGGGAATCTCCGGGAACGGACCGGAGAGTCAGCTGGGAGGCGGGCGCCCCCTGGGCCCGCAGGCGAACCTGAGTCGGAGGCCGCTGTTTTGTCCCTGCTGAGTCTCCGCCAAGGATTACCTTCGCTGCGTGTTCGAGTGTGAATACACACAAAAGGCCTGGGGAGAATGGGCAGACCGTCGGCGGGGCATTCACGGCCGGGACCCTTCCCTGGGGTGTCAGTTCTGCGTACTTCTCGAACGTTCAGATTCACGTTCGCTGCCTGCCTTCCAGGTCTCCCTGGCCCTGGCCAGGCCCGTTTCACTTCGTTGTCTACTCAGTGGTTAAAGAAAGTCCGGGTTCCTGGACGTGGGCGCCCAGCAAGGAGCGAGAGGCGCCGAGTGGTGCCCTCGCCGCCGAGTCGGCTCACAGGGCTCAGGACCCAGGAGGACCAGCAGCCACAGGCCGGAGGAACGGTTCTACTTC